CTGCTACTACTACTACTTCTACTATTACTACTACTACTACTACTACTACTGCTACTACAACTACTACTACTACTACTACTACTACTGCTACTACTACGACTACTACTACTACGACTACTACTACCACACTACTACTACTGCTACTACTACTACTACTGCTACTACTACTACTACTACTGGTACTACTACTACTACTACTACTACTAGTACTTCTACTACTACTGCCACACTACTACTGTTCTCTAGACAGTTCATGTACTCTGGTCAACTGCAGTCCTAAGCATGCAAAGAGACAAGCGCTCTTGTTTTTCCACGAGTGCTGCTCAGAGTTAAGAAGTCCGGTCGCAGGCGGACGACTCAGACCGTCCGTCTTTGTGAGACTAGGATGCGTATTGCGAGACGCATGTCAGGCGGAACGCACCGTTCCACGGCTTTTCACCTTTGCAGTCACGCACAGTGACCACGTAGTGACCGTTGTGACCGCGTAGTGACCGGTAGTCACCGTAGTGACCACGCGTGGTGACCACGTGGTGAGTGACCGTGTAGTGACCGCGTCAGTGACCGCATAGTGACCGCGTAGTGACCGTAGTGACCTCGTAGAGACTCGGATGTAGACTCAGTCTTTTTCGAGTCTTTCATGGTGAAGACTGCAGTCTTTGTCAAGTCTTTAAACGTCATTACAGCATTGCTACTATTGAATCGTAATTGAATCATTGTTTAACCTCAATTGCGTTTTTTGTGATTATCGCGATTTCAACTCTGAAGAATTTCTTTCTCTGCATCGTTTTGCCATAGCCCAAGACATCGTTTTCGGTCAAACACATCGCAATTTCGACCCTGAAGAACTTCTTTCGAACTCAGAGCCTCAGAAAGGCTCGAAGAGGTTGGCGCAAGAAGTTCTCTGACAAAGATGAAGAAGAGAGTTGGACCAAGTCTTCTTGCACGCCGGGCGCGCTGCAAGTGCTTTTCGCGCTTGGTGCATCAAGGATGGCGTGAGACTCTCTTCGTCCACTGGAAGTCAACTCTGCTCTTCAGTTTTTAGCCACAGTCAGCAAGTCAACGCCAACGTGATTCGAAGCGTTCTGTTGTTTTTTTCCGTGCAATCCACTTTGAAGTGTTCATTTTCGGGTTTTTGAACAATTTCCTTCCAAAAGTGGCAACAGTCACATTTTAGCTGCAGAAAGAAACGTCTTCTCTGATTCTGATTTTCGGCACGAGCATCGACTTGGAAAAGAAAACCAGATTCAGCAAGTACTCTGCAACAAAGCACAACACAACACTAGAAATCCGTTTTCAATGCTGATAAGTGTCCAATGATCTCCGTCTTTGACGTTATGTTATGTTTGGCGGTTTTTGAGACGGAGAAAGTCTTCGACCTTCATGTTAACCGATTTGACGGGCTCATGTTCAAAGCCGCAAAACCTCTCAAAAACGCGACCTCTCCAGTTTTTTGAATCTTTTGTTTTGTAGAGCACGCAGCCGGCAAGAAAAGAAAGTCTCAGCTGTTGTTGACCGGCAAATGCTCTGAATTCGGTACCGCTCAAGTTGGCTTGTCCATTTGCATGGCTGCACTACCTTTTACAAACGTCAGATTTTGGGCAGCTTGAAGTGCGATTTACCTCGACAGGGTGCGCTCGCATGCAATCTGACTCTTTGTGTGTCTAGCTCTTTGGTAAAGCGACCAGCATGCTGTTCGGGTGTTAAGAGCCTCCAATTTGTCTGCGGGAGATGGCGCAAAGCCACAAGTGAAGATCATCAACCCGAAAAGGACAGAAGCTTGCCATCCTCCTGTGGGAACAATACGACGGACGTGTTGAGGTGTAGCTGCTGCAGAACATTGGGGTTTTGTGTTTGTGCATGTTGTTGGTAATGGCGGTAGCTACAGTTCTTTCCGCATGTTGTGGCAATCGAGGTTGTTTGTTTCTCTGCATTTTTCGGTGCCGGTTTGTTGTGATCAATCGCATCATGAATCATGCGACTTCTGTTCGACTTCCACTTTCTATCCTCTCGAACTCAGCGCCACGTCGATGTGTGGAAGCAATCTTCGCGCGATGTTCTTGTCAGTTTGTGAATGTGTGCAGGAGGGTTTGCACAACGGGTGTGATATCCAACGGTGTGCGATGTGTGTACGCACTGCGACTGCAACCACTTGCATTTCTATTTTTCAGCTTCAAGTCGAATCTCAGGTAGACACGTCGGCACCGGCAGGCAATCACACTGGCGCAATCCAGTGTATTGGGTTTGGTTTGGGTAACACTGGATGCACAAGGTCGTGCAGCAATGCTAGAGAGAAGCTTTTCTGGGTTGAGTGTCATGGGTCATGCTGATGGCCGTCGTGTTCCCAGGCCGCTTCCCAAGAATAGAGATCGCATATCATTGCCTTTGTGACAACATGCTCAGGATGCACACGATAATTCACTGAGGTCATTTGCGTGATTTGTGCCAGGCCTCGTCGCCCTTTGCATCATGCGGCTTGCAGCTCCGCTCGTCTGCAGCTGATCGCAGGTTTCGCCATGCCGACTAAACGACCGGTGCCTTTGAGCGATGCGGCTCTTGGACATAAAGGCTCTACACGAGAAACTATGTACAGTCTTCTGAGCGTGTCCTCCTGTCATAGGTGATACCAGCAGCGAGCTCGCAATAGGCGAGACAAATGTTGGGATCCCAAGCTTTGTGCTTCTGTTGGCCGCCTGTATCCACCGTTGAAGCAGTGAAACATACAGCTTCCGTCCGTTGAGGCTGGTGTGCCTTTACCAGTCAAGCAGCTTGACTGCATTGGCCGTGCAAGGGACCCCTTGAGCCGGCTGACTGTTTCGTGACAGCTCAGGAACACGTTCATTGATATGCCATCTGGCTTGACACCAGTGAACTCTCCGAGCAAAGATGCCCACCCATCGAGTACAGCGCCTGCCCAGGCAATTTTGTTTCATGTCACCAGTGGCGTTTCGAGGATGTAGTTGCTGTGCAGGTTCATCTGCGGGAGGGATGGATTGATAGGCCGGTCGCAAGGTTTGAACTACATTTGCACATCAGCATCTCGCACAGCCAGGGCGATCGACCGGGGCATCCTGGATGCCGTGCAAGAGACAATAGCCGTAGCCTTAGGCTTTGCATTCACACGGACGGCAGTGGAGCGTGCAAGTGCAGCTTCTGGTTATTCTCGAGGATTCGCCGGCCAACGTGCCCACAGATCCAGGTGGGACCCGGCTTGCATGTGATTGCAAAGTGAAAGAGCAAATATGTGATCCGGTGCGAGTTTGGAAGCCGAAAGGGCAGTGCGTAGACTTGTCACTCCGAAAAGTGGGTCCATTGCTACAAGCCGCCCCACTCCTTGGTGCTGATTCTACACGCGGGTTCTTGACTTCTGTTGGCGGAGGTGTGCCTGGGCTGGCGTCGACAAGTTCCGCCCAGCGGCCAGTGTGCCAAGCATGTGCAAGGGGCGCTTGGTTCTAGAGATGCCTAGAAAAGCCCGCTTCTCTTTTTTTCAGCGCAGAATGTTCGCTTGCAGAATCCAGGCCCGGGGGCCTGGCGGCCTGGGGCTCGAATTGCAGGGTTGGGGGCTCCGGGTGAGCTCAGGACTGTCCTAAGTGGTTGTATCTCACTGAGTTCAGTAGATGTGCAGGGAATTGCGGCTGGAGTCAGAGATTTGGAAGATTCGTCTCAGTCTTGGCAGCTTGGCCTCGACTCGAGCAAATTCGCAACATCTGGAAACATCTGTAAGATGCAAACATACCCTCACACTAATCAGTCACTGGCCTTCTGCTCGAGCTTCTCGCCGAAGGAAAAACGATGCTGAGTTGAATCCTCATGCCAAAGGCCAGTGCTCCGCTGATGACACCGTCGCCGACTGGTCAATCGATGTTCGGAGAATCAAGGCAATTTGGGTGGCTCTAAGTACAGTTACAACTGTTGGAATACTTGCGGCGAGTGTTGCAGAAGAATCAATGCAGTGTTTAGAAAGCTGCGCCCGACAGGCTTGTTACTGCAGTATGTAGTGTCCTCATTGTATAAGTCCAGACTGTCTAAGATGATCATGTGAGCTAGTGATGTGAGCTGGAGATTGCACCTGGGTTGATTGGACCCTGCGAGTCTTGTGAGGGAGATCGTGCCACTGGAGAGGTTGGACTTACTGTTTCTGGAATGCTGTTCTCAGGTATCAGCTGTTTGGAGGGCCCCCGCCGCCAATCCAAGAAGCCGGAGTCTTACTGCGATTCAGGATGATTCAGGTCTGCGCTCTCACCGTGAAGGGTCTGAAAGGCGAAAGGCTTGGTCTTCCAGACCTGAGACAAAACAGAGGATTTGCTTTACACTGTAGCTTGCAGAATCCTCTGCAAAAAAGTTGCAGTATTGAATTTGGTGTCACTAAGACTCGAACGAATTCCGGTTGAAGTTGCATGGTGCTGGTCACACAGGCTCCATTGGCAGCTCCTGGCCACGAGCTGGGCGGCTGGTCTTGAGCATGGCTTGGGCTTTCGGATCTAGGAAGCTTCTTGGCTTCGGGGTCTTGCGGATGGGCCTCAGAGAACTTTCGTCTCCGATGCTCCGGAACTCAAGCATTGGAAGTCTCGCGGCTCTCTGCATCTCTCTGCAGCCTTGCTTCCAAGCCCAAAGGGGCCCCAAACCGAGAGAAATAGCAGTGCAAGGCCAGCGCCTGCACGGCACCCCGGCTCCTGGTCTTGGCGAGCCTCTGCTGCTGTCGGTACCTCCGCCCAGTCAGGCCAAGTCCTTCCAAATGTTGAGCTGATGCGGAATCTTCATTGATAATTATCCTGCCTGCTTTCTGGTGCAGGCACCTCCTCCGCAACATCTTCCTTTGTACGCTGGAGGCTTTGGCGGAGCCCCGCCTTACTACGACTACAACTACCTTGGACCCCCAGGCGCTGCATCAGTCACTTCCTCGTGCTGTCGTGCTATGGGCTGAAAGTGTTCCTTGTGTTGCAAGGAGCACGAATATCCGAGCCTTTTGGAGTTCAAGATTTTGCTCGTCGGAATTCGCTGGAAAAAGACAGTGATGATGACGACGATTCAGAGGCTGAGCGACAACAGGCCCGCTCTCACTGTGCCAAGGGCATCTGAGCCAGCGAGAGGGAGAGAGAGAGTTTCGGGCGTCCGCTCGTTCCTTCTGGCCTGGTCGAGAGAGAGAGAGAGAGAGAGAGAGAGAAAGAGCGAGAGAGAGAGAGAGTGAGTGACAGAGAGAGAGAGAGAGAGAGAGAGAGAAAAAAAACAACACTCTCTTTGCAACGGATATGCGCCTTTTGTTGAATAGGTTACGTACTCGTCTCAACATTGCCTTTGCACGGGTGCACTCGCAGTGGCAAATCTCCTTCGGGAAGACAGGCAGCGCTGGCAGCTGCGGGCATGACCGCCGAGAATGCACCCAAGCCGCCACCTGGGGCGGAACACCCGCCTGGGACCCAGCGTGCAGAAGTCAGAATGCACGGGCCATGGTCCACCTGGCAGGCGAACTGTCCACATGACCAATGAGACATACACACACATAGACACATAGACACTTGTGTATTTTGTTGTGTAGATGCCTGGCCGGGTGATGCTGACGCTGACGGTGATGGTGAACGAAAACTGGCTGAGAATGCGGGCCGCATGGCGCTCACGTTATCTTGTCTTGTCGTGAGGTCACTGGGATCAGCTTTTCACGACAGTGGGAGCTGCAAAAGATGCTGCTTCTATCCGCGAAACAGGCCTCGGACTGCTCAGGGCCTTGCATTTGCTGTGAGGAGAAAGAGTTCACAACAATCTGGGTCTGCAGGTGTCTGAATGGGTACGAGTGCGAATTTTGTCACTACGAGCACGAGAAGCGGAAGAGGAAAAACAAAAAGAATAAGAAGAAGAAGGCAAGCCCGGTTCAAGAGTCGCTTGCCCATGACTGGACCACAGACGTGTGCTTCATCTTGGTGACACCTCGAGGCTGGTGAGCACATTGAGGAGTACTACTCGGCCGATGCTGTTGCGCACATGTGGCAACCCCAGCACTACGATTGCAAGAAACTGTGTTCCAGGTGGTACCGTAGGTTCCTTTGTGCGCCTAGGACTGACCTCCCTTGGCCAGCACCGGCACCCCATGCACCCCTCGCACCCCTGCCCTTGCCACTCCCCCAAGCTGTGCCACCCGAATATCCCGAGTACGTGGATGGACCGCTGACATACCAGTGGACCGATGGTACAGTTGGACAAACCCCCGCCCCACCAATCATCCCAGGCTATGAGCACTTGGTAACAGCTGCAGTCTCAAGGGTGCAACGAACACCTGCACCTCACAGGGAAGGACCTGCACTCGCAACCAATCCCCCGCCCAATCCCAACCATTACGATTCTTATGACCGGACCAGCCCGGGCTATCATCCCTACGATGTGCCGCCTGCTGGCCCGGCTTACCGCCACCCCCCACCACAACCCGTACCCCACCCGGTGCCACCACATCCCCACCCACCACTGCCTGGCCTAGATCCAGCTGCGGCGCCCTGGCACCCGCCAGCCACAGCTCCGTTCCCAGCAACCAACGGCGCGCTGCGCCATCCACGGCCAGACCTCATGTCCTACCCCCCGCCGGCCACGGTTCCACCGGATGAACCAAGGCCGGTGGTGAGCGAGGAACTGGGCACCGATCCCAGACCCTTCGATCTGTTGACTGTAGGCCCACAGACCCCACAGCCCGGAAAGCCGATGCCCATTAAGGTGGAAAAGGTTGCCGGCCAGACCGGTCAGGGAGACGGCCCCAATATGCCGCCACCCGACCAATCACCCAAGCTGAGCAGCGATCTCATGGCCTCCCTGCAGCAGGATCCGCCCCCGCCGGATGAAAGCCCCACGTGACTGCAGTGCGACTGCGTTGAAGGAGCTGAGTTCAGTGTTATGTTGGCTTGCTTCTGATAGCTCGCAGCCCCCTCGCTGGGACGTGGGTTTTTGAAGAATTCCGTTTAGTTGAATCCAGTGTGCCGGTTGTGATACTTCATGCTGGCGCGAACGGATCTGGATCCAAATGCCTGCTGGCACAGACCCTGCTCGAACAAAAACCCAGTACTACACTGCACCCTTGAAGCAGAGCCTTAGCCCTCCAAGCTTCAATTATCGATTGCCGGGTTCGTGCCACGCGAATAGGATTGAAAAGCCAGCCCATCTTTGTCGATGGCTGAAAAAAGTGTCGCGGCCTGGCATCTCGTGGCAGTCCTATTGGACACGAGCCCGTCACAGGCAAGACGCATGACTCAAAGTCGCTGCCATCATGAATGCTGAACTTTCAAGAATGTTCACCGTCGGCAACACTGCTCACTCCCATAAACAATCTTCAGACTGAGTGGTGGTCGTGTCTGTCCGGCCAATCGACTTGTTGATCAAACTTCGCAGTGTTTCGGGCAGTCCAGCATGACAGTCAAGGATGACAGCCTGGCACCAGCACAGTCGGTCTTCCAGCATTTTCAGCAGTTTTAGTGCGCACGTGTGTTGCGCCATGTGGTGCTCAAATGGCCGAGCTTGCCACCTGGGAGGCAGTGTCGCGAGCTCAAAGTGGGGAATGGATTTTCTTGTTCATCAAACGAGATGCAAGTCTGGCAGAGCCATGTGGGGAGGCATCGGGGCTCATCCTAACACACGACTAGGAGACGGGCTAGGATATCCTGCATGCGAGGCCTTTAGAGATCGCAGGCAGTTTTTAGCAATCTTCTCTCGATGTGTTGTAAGGTGTCGTTGCGACCTTCAAGGTGCTGCCAATGGCAGTGTGCCACCATCCTGCATTGCCATTTGTGTATGTGCGTGTGGCTTCGGCGACTGCGAAGATGCGCATGTCAGGTGCAGGGTCAGCTCGAGGCGAGTGCATGGCTCAGCCCGGGCACTGAGAATGGTGTTGCATTTGAAGTTTCGTGAGCTCCCTCTAAACTACCGACCTTGTGGCTATGGCGGAACAAGGATGAGTCTAGCCACACGTGACTAGCACGGCACTCCTTCATATCGTAGCTGTTGCACGATCATGGTAGCTCTAAGATGTGAGCTCATGTAAGGTTTAGCAGATGCTGGCCGTTGCTGGGACCTTGCCCGCAAGATTCCGTCTGGAAGCCCAGCAGCCTTAAGCAGCTCGCGCCGTTGCAAGGGCTTCGAGGGCCGCCAGCCTTGTTTAAACCATTTTGGCGTTTACACTAAGGCTACATGTCCACATATTTCCATCTTAAGCATGCTTCCCCAACTCCGGAACAGCCTTTGTTGTCGGGCATGAGGATCTCGGCTTGAAATTAAGAGGCGGCCTAGGGCCCAGTTCAGGTCATGTTTATCCATGCAGGGTGCCGAGCACCAGGCCACACTTGTATGCCGCGGCCTACACCGTCTATCAGGCCTCTCGGCTCTGTCTCTGGAGGGCGAGCTTCCACGTTTGGGTCTGTCCAGGCCCTGCAGGAGACTGGCGAGGCGAAGCAGCTTTTTATGTGGCATCCGTCCGTCTCCGTTTGCACCGAGCCAGGATGCCAGCCTCGCTGCCTGCATTCCGGGAGCCTTCACCGCGCTGACCGCCCGGCGACCAAGTTTTCTTGAATGTTTCGTCTCGACATATTACCAATGCCGCCGCTCCAGATGCACACCGCCACAGCGTTATATTTCTGACCACGGACTTGGCGCTCAGGTGGTACTTCTACTGCTCCGGCCTCAGCGAGGTTGAAGGTCGTGCCGAGTTTTTCGAGTCAAGGGTTGCAGCTAGGGCGAAGTTTGCAATGCAGTCTGCCCACACTTTGCATCGGAAAACTGCAGAACGTAACTTGGAAGAAGTGTCACCCGGTTGGATGACAGGTGGGAGGCCCACGATGCTCCAGATTCGCTCTTTGACACTGTGACTTCGCCAGATTAGTATTAGTCATGACCAACATGGGTGGTTGTTCTGTCAGTGAGCTTTTCGCACAAGTCTGAAGAGTCCCGGGAGAGATGGAAGGCTTTGCACTCCTTGCTCCTTCTCGAGAGCTCGACTGTGGCTCCGGCGATGACGGCGCTCGGGGTCACCGGCGTGCTGGACCGAAGCGAAAGACGTAAGCCTAGTACCATGGTCACACAAGCCCTATCTGATGATTCCAGACTACGTCTGACGCTCCGAACATCGGACCATGCAGGATTGCTCCGCATACGTCAGCGGCGAGGGCTGGTGGCCGGGGGTACGGCTCCTGGTTATGAACAGGAGCCCTTAAGAACAAACATCGTCAGCGGATGCAGGGCGTCTGCGTCAACAATAAAGGGTCAGCTGCTGTTCAGTATCTGTTAGGTTCCGAAAATCCTCACATGTCGGGGCTTCTGCCGCTGCTGCATGCCGCCGTGGATGGGCATACATACAAGCAGCTAGCAGCTAGAACATGTCAGAACAAACATGCGACTTGAGCCTTAGCAGCCTGGGCAGGTCGTGGACTTGCGCTGGCTTCGGCGTCTGACTGGTCGGCTTGCTCGGTGGCTTACCTGCAAAAGCATTATCTGTGTTTCTCTCTGCCTCTGCGTGTGTGTGTGTGTGCGGACGATCCTCGTAGTGGATGCAGGGGCTCACAACCTTATTTATGTTCCATTTGCAGGGGACCGGGCTAGTGAAAAGAGTATCCCACTCGACAGAGACGTTCCCCCCTTGTGCAAACGTACCTGCTTTCGCTCCGCGTCGAAAGTGGCTTCCGGGGTTTGCCTCGGCTCATCAACTCTCACGTGTTGCTGCGGCGGTCCTTGTGTGTAACCACAACGGGGCTGGACCTGTCGTCTGGCAGACTCTGGCATCAAAATGATCATGTCATTACGCTTTCAGCATCATCATCATCGTGGTCGTCGTCGTTGTTGTCGTCGTCGCCGTCGTCGTCGTCGTCGTCGTCGCCGTCACCACCACCACCACCACCATCATCATCATCACCATCATCATCATCATCATCATCATCATCAACATCATCAGCATCATCAACACCATCATCATCAACACCACCATCATCATCATCATCATCATCGTCATTATCATCGTCATCAACACCATCATCATCATCATCACCACCATCATCACCACCACCA